CGTCTATACTCAGAGTATGATTGCACAGTGTTTTGTGATTCTTTTCATTCAGCAATGAAACAAAATTAATGTCTCTTTTTTCTTATCAAATGTTCAAATATTCAATCCAAAACCGATTTATTCCATTCTCATTCGATTGAAATCCGTTCGGAACACAGACCGATGAAAAACAACAATACTATCGAAAGTTTTTGTTTTTTTTAAATCTGAAAAGAAACTTTTCAAACGTTTCATTTCTTTAATGATTTATTGAATGAGGGATAAACCGGAGGAGCTGGTTTATGAGGCGATCATCTGATTTTGAAAGATACACGCAATCTTGTCGTGATTGTCGCTTGATTTGTGGAGAATGCAGTTTCAAGGAATGCCATCATTATGAGAGTGGTGATGTCGTGTCTTCTTCAAAGAGAACGCTGATGGATCTGCTTCGAGATTAAAGAATTGGTGATGATGCGTAGAAATGGAATGTTTGTGTGCAGATATGTGAAGAAGATACAAGATGCTAGATAAAACTGGATATGCTGCATTAATCAATCCCCTTAAACTGGTTCTTCGTCATTCATTTGCTGTATTCCGCTTGCAGATGATTCGGTCAAACTTGATTGCAAACATTTTCACGAGACACAACAATAATCTATTCGTTTTGATTAGTTTGGTTGCATTAACATTATTATTATTATTGTCATTATTATTACCATCGATATGATGATTATTATTGTTAATGTTGCCACTGTTATTATAGCTATTATTACTATTATGATTGTTATCGTGTATTGCTCTAGCAGAAATTCGATTACATTTCAACAATTCATTACTGTAGAAAAAAATAAAATTTCTTCAGCAACAGAAACTTGCTTAAATTTATTTGAAGAATTTAAAATTATGTAAGATTGCATAAGCCATCCATCCACCGTCATAACAACGTTAACAAGAAATGAAAAGAATACTACCAGTGAGATCGGTGCAAAAAAAGATCATTAAACGCTGAAGATTCTGCATACAGGTCCACGAGTCTCTTTCCTGATGGCCTTTCCATTTGTTACAGATTGTCCGTACGGCCCAGCAACTCACGTGAAGTCTTCCATGGCCGAGTTTCAAGCTCTCTCTTGAGCCGTAAAATTGGCTCTGCATTCCTCCTAAAGGCTGAACCAAACTGCTTACTTCACATAAGATCCCAATGACAAATTTTTGAAAAAATGATCATTTTCGATTTCGTGAGATACGTCGATTAGAGCACTGTTTACATCCAACCAAAAATTACTGAGCTAAAACTATCTGCTGATCGAACACCAATCAGTCAATCGATTTTACTGGATTTCTGTAATCTTGCTTCACATTTCCA